GGTGGGGCTTTGATGGGCTGGGGTTTAGGCGGTCTGGGGAATGCCTCTCCCACATCTGAAGGTACCGCACGTCACTGCTGCAGAGGATCCACCGCCATAGTCAATCTCCTCTACTGTCCCTGTCCCTTTTTTTGGTTCATTGTCTGTGAGTGATGTCACCCTCGCTATAAATATTTTAATTCATTCACATTGCTTGAAAATGAAAGATTTACTTGGGATTTATTCACTAATTCTGTTTGATTTATTACACTATATATCACAGAATGTTCCCGTGAGAACCATTTTTATTAAAATTGGGCAATTCTGAGGATGATTTTTAATTTATCACTTTATTAAACACTCCGAGGATATCACGTTCCAAGGACTGAGCTCCGGGGGATGACAGGGACCTCCCAGGAGAAGGCAGGAGCAGGATGGCAGCGTTCGCTGGTGAGGATGGGACATGACTACGTAATCTCTCTACATGAGCCGGGTTATAACAAATCGTGCCTAAAAAGAGAGATGGATAATGGAAGAGAGAGAATAATACAGAAGGAGACATAGAGACAGGGAGAGGAAGAGAGAGAATAATACAGAAGGAGACATAGAGACTGGGAGAGGAAGAGAGAGAATAATACAGAGGGAGACATAGAGACTGAGAGAGGAAGAGAGAGAATAATACAGAAGGAGACATAGAGACTGGGAGAGGAAGAGAGAGAATAATACAGAAGGAGACATAGAGACTGGGAGAGGAAGAGAGAGAATAATACAGAAGGAGACATAGAGACTGGGAGAGGAAGAGAGAGAATAATACAGAAGGAGACATAGAGACTGGGAGAGGAAGAGAGAGAATAATACAGAAGGAGACATAGAGACTGGGAGAGGAAGAGAGAGAATAATACAGAAGGAGACATAGAGACTGGGAGAGGAAGAGAGAGAATAATACAGAAGGAGACATAGAGACTGGGAGAGGAAGAGAGAGAATAATACAGAAGGAGTGGAAGGACAGACAGAGAAAGAGACTGACAATGATAGGAAGAGAGAGGGAAGGAAGGACAGACAGAGAAAGAGACTGACAATGATAGGAAGAGAGAGGGAAGGAAGGACAGACAGAGAAAGAGACTGACAATGATAGGAAGAGAGACTGGCCTCCTATTCCCGGTCCCTGATAATGTTTTAGGACTCAACTCCTATTCACTTTGTATTATCCTTCACCATAATAATGTCCTAGCTAGACTTATACCTGAGACCCCCGTCCATCCCATAATAATCCCTCCATTGATTTAGTGATGCTAAAATGTTTTTTGTCCTACCAATAAAGATTAATTGAATTTTATTGATT